CCACCTAAGGGATATTCCTACACTTCCGGCAAAACATTGTAATGGATAAGTTAGGTCGTTGGATGATGATGATGATAAGCCTGCTATCCAGGATACATGCAGTATCGTCGTCGTCAACTTATATGCACATTAAGATATATTGTTATGAATATTCAGCTCAGCAGCTAGGCCTACACTAGCTTTATTGATATGGATCCTTCCCCAGATGCCCACCAACGCTGTATACTATGTACATATGTACTACACATACTCAAGTAGTATGTGTTAGTGCATGTAGAAGTTCTTATTTGGTAATCTGTTATTCAAAGCAGATTGAAAACCAGTTTGTGTGTAATTGAATAAATCTCGATAGTATGCATCATATTGTCACACTCTCCTCCTCACTTGGTATTCCCAGGAAGGCATATGAGTCAAAGAGATCAATAAGGACTTCATAGAACTCGATAAGGACATCCTAAGGGAATATGCAGGAATACCCGGGATCGAACTCGATACCACCTTCACGTTAACCTCATCTTCCTCGATTAACCAAGACAACTTCAACTTTCCCCAATCTTCTTTAAATCGAGGATCCTGCTCAAATAATGATGATGACCAGATACGGCGACAAGAGTGCCGTAAATTTTTCCAGTTGATGAATTATTAAAATTATGGTATATGCAAAGCGCGTGATGGATTGTCCTCACCGTAGGTCTTTCATCATCTGCACTGCTAACATCTGTACTTGTCTTATCAAACACACACTGAGGATCCTCTGTTATTGGTGCCTAAGGACAACAACAACAACAACGATGATGATGATGATTATGATAAGAATGTTTTCGGAGTATGGTATTAATAATAATATTATTCGGATCATCATATACATTTCGTGAATATTGTCGATTATTCTGCAGGGTAGTGCGTAAAAAGCGTATGATGAGAGTTGGCCTACAACTCGGTAGTACATCCCATTTGAAGTGAATAATATTATGTATTCCCTCCTCCTTCTCGGTCTTTCCAATCTTGGGCAGGGCTTCACATACAACCTCATCACTATTGGGAAGGACGAACTAAACACATGGTATTAATGATCACATAAGAAGAAGACATGTCTGCGATAGGAAACTTGATATTTACTTTGAAGAGAGCCGTTCCAGGAGGACGGAGAAGCATAGCATTCTGAGCAGAAGATAAGTGTATGTGAGGAGAGTAACTAATTATAATACTACTACTACTACCCAATGATAACCAGTGGCATCCCCTCTCTTGATGCCTTCTAGTGGTATATCATCAAATGGACCGCCAAACTCGGCTTGAGGGAATAGTCCCACCCATTTATCATCTATTAGATAGGTACCCTTTATCTATCACAAGACGAGTTAGTGGGATACAACATCATTCACAGTCGACGACGACGACGTACTACTTGAATGGATAAACCTAGCACAGTGTTGCAAACAATATCGACTTATTCAATTCGTATGATCAATCATTAATCGAAAATCAACTAGGATTTAATCAATAAAACAATGTCGAGGAAAATACCGTGAAAAATCAAATGGATATACAGAGATTTGTCGGATGAAGATTATATATTTTACGATATTTAAAATGTTATTATCAACTTACTTTAATAGGAATCTCACTAGGATGTTGTTGTTTACTAGGTGTCCATCTAATACAACATCGGATAAGATTCGATTCGTGTCCATAGGCTTCCTGATAATCACAACAAAGATATAAGGCGAATGCTAGCATGATGATGATGATCACTTCTCGCCAAGTATCTAATTGGTTTCCAAACGACGCATTACATGTCCCTTCTATGGCTGCTGGTTTGAGGCTTGGATAACTAACATAACACCATAGCTGGGATTCGAACCCACGACCTCCTCCCAGTCTTACACAGTGTCATCACGACTAACCATCTTTGATAGAGCATCGCCACGGATAGCTAATTCAACCACGAGTGTATCTCCTAAAACATATACACATACATAAGATAGTATCCTAGAAATCTAAAACATAGACAGAGCTTATATATTCCAAGGAATGAAACCGTGGTTGTGAACATCATCATTCAGTGTATGTAATTGTGGTTGGTCCAGTTATCAGAGTTCGACTACTAGCCTATGAATCCATTGATCATGACGATAAAGAATCGTAATAGATTAATATCGGTGTCACCCATCACTATTCGATAGGAGTATAGGTCATTATGCTCAAAATATGAAGATGAGTTGTTGAGTTCACACGACTGTCGTCGTAGAGAATTATATACTCCTTGGTATACCATAACAAATTGAACCGATCGTCATGATCCTTATGATGATGATGCACTCACCCCCATCAGCAAGAGCTTCCTTAAGACTTTGGTGTGGTTGTATTAAACGCCCCTCTACGGTCTTGACAGCAGTTGGGATCAAGAAGGCGGCGGGACCAGGCGATAGCTCAGCGTATCTTGGCACATTATTACATACCATCTCGCGGGGAACACGACCGAGATTATTTAATACGGGGATATCTAGCATATACAATAATAATTGATTAGATTATTATATCTATTAATAGCTCGTTTATTTCGTACTCGTACTCGTAGACCTGGTCCTCGTTACGTACCTTGTAGCTGCCAATAACCCCAACCAACGAGCATGTTGTAGTCCTTTACCAACTTCAATATCGAACTCTACATCGATCACTCTCACACTTAAACGCATTACCAAATAAATAACTAATGTAAGT